CTAATAAACAGTATCTGAAACTTACCTAGAATAGCACTCATTCTGTGAAAGTTTCTTCTAATCCTTTCTTCGCAAATTCATTAATAACGGTAACAAAGGTGTTAAAACCCAGTAAAACGCTGCAACCTTCCGCTTCCAGCGTGACAGAAAATGACTGAAAGTCGTTTGAACGCGACGGAAAATCGGACGGATTCGTGTAGCGGATGACGTAAGTCCAATGAGCCAATTAGATTAGCAGTGGACGTGACCTGAACATGGCACTAACGTCAGCAACAAATTAGAACCAATCAGAATGAAAGGATCCACGTGACACATGAAGCTGGGCTAGATAAGGTAGTTGAGTTCCATCATGGCTAGGCAGTGTGTTAATACACCATTTCGATTGTTATTTCAAAATATCATCGAAATTCGACGCCATATTAAACATGTATCCCTTGAGCCTCTAAAGGGAAACCGTGAGGCCTGAAACTCATACCTTGAATAAATTAAAGCAGTATATTCTCTCCGGGAATGTTCATCGGAAGAGTGACGGAATGGACGCGCCCACCCATACAGAACCATAAGGTGGCCTACACCACGGAGCGTTTTTCGACGCGTGTCATAAAATACGCGCTAACTACACATGGGGCGTTGTTTTCCGGTTCAGTGTAGGGCCAGGGCAGCGACAGCAGTGAAGTAGAGGAAGAAAGACGAGTGTCTGAGTGATTTGTCGGAATGGAATAAGTGAGGGAATGAAATTACAGATGTTTTGATTGCATACGAATACGTTGATTGCTGCAAATCTGAAAACGGGTAAAGTAATAAATCTAAATTCAAATACACTGATAATAATACTCACTTCTATATCGTCTTACACAGGAATGTTCAGCAATTTGATCTATATTTCACAAATAAAAATAAAATTAAAATGTTTTACGAACACAAAAAGTCCTAGGACTTAATGAAAACGATGCGAGTACAAACTCACAACGCGACGCTCCGTCTGTAGGTCTCGTAGCAAATGCACCACCCGCCACTGCTGAGCAGTGCAAACAACGCCTGAAACTTTAGAGGATGACGCCAGAAGCTTTCAGCGTCACAATGACCCGGTAGTCATCTGACGCCCCGTGTGTAGGACAGGCATTCTGCTAACACAGTCACCTAAAAACTGAACCGTGAGTGTCGTGCGCGTCGAAAAAAAAAACGGCTTCGGTGTAGGCAGCGAAGTGACGCACGGCTATGACCCACCAAGTCATAAACCACACCGAATCTGGTAGATAGAATCCGAAAAAAAAAAAACAGGATATTCTCCCCCCAGAAACATTCAACAGTTTGGGCGATGAGGTAAATGAGTGGAGTAAGAGACCAGGGAATCGGTAAGAATTTTACAAACAGTACCTTACTTTCGGTATTGTTTCGCCACCAGTACAAAGCCGGATACAGTTAATCATCAGTTCTGCCGAGGCCCCGCGAAAGTATACCTCCGCGGTCCGATAGGGAACGGCGGATTAGCGTTCATGATTCCTGCCAAAAAACGACTTGTGGAAGGACAAGTTTTAGGGCGTCATCTTATCAAAAATTTGACCCAACACAAGTATATATCTATATATCTTACATTTGTCTTTCCATCTAGCTTTATATAAATATATATATATATATATATATATATATTATATATATATATATATATTATATATATATATATATATATATATATATATATATATATATATATATATATATATATATATATATATATATATATATATATATATATATATATATATATATATATATATATATATATATATATATATATATATATATATATATATATATATATATATATATATATATATATATATATATATATATATATATATATATATATATATATATATATATATATATATATATATATATATATATATATATATATATATATATATATATATATATATATATATATATATATATATATATATATATATATATATATATATATATATATATATATATATATATATATATATATATATATATATATATATATATATATATATATATATATTATATATATATATATATATATATATATATATATATACACAACATAATATTAGTGTGTGTAGGTATCTGCATTGTTCATGTATATTTAAGTAATTTAAGTATTCTCAAACTTACTTAAACGGACGGACGCATACACACAGTTGTTTTGTTATATAGATAATAAGTGGGTACAAGAAAGGTCCCCATAATCATCGGGTGGCGTTTTGACAGTCTGAGGGTTAACGATCATATACTTTCTAGGATTAAATTCATATAATCTTATTAGATTTAGCTAACTAACAATTAAGATGATTTCAATTTATAAATCCATTCTTATCTGTTTGGCTTCTTTACGTAATTTGATAATTATAAAATTGATCCTTCCAACAATCGAATATACCTTTATTGCATTTGGAATGGTAAATCAAAGTGAGATTTACCTTCAAGCCAAAAAACAAACCGTAAGGTCCTCGTTTTCGATATAAAACACTTCCCTATCTTAAGGAAAATACATATAAAATGGTATTAATTCTTGAAAAAAAAAAAAAAAAAACCTTTTTTTCCTTGTGATAGCTTTGAAAATCTCCAACGCAGGGGAATCGCTCAGCTGTATTATTATTATTATACTGTTCATCTCTATTTCTCTTTTTAAACGTAGTTGCGACGGGAAATAGAAGGACTTTTTATTACAGAGTTTGGAAGACCCGCGCCTGTGTGTAATCAATCACGGAAGTCACCGATACGAGTGGAATCCCGTGGAGAAGTAATCACAGTTATATATATACACACACAGAAATAGAGAGAGATTAGAGTAAATACGTATCTCGAAAATCATATAATATATATTTTTTTCATTATAAAGCAGACCACAGACTCTAAACGCAGGACTATAGACTCTCGCCCATTCACCAAATCGCCAACCTCCAACGAAATCCACCAACAAAGTTACACAACAAGACGTTTAGAATTTACACCGACTGGGCGAGACCTTACGTACTCCAACTCTTCTTTTTACTTATATATACTTGTTTTACTTCTTATTTACTTCACATAAATAATATTATGCTCTCTCGTTACCAAATACGACACAGGAATGAACATGGACAGTGCCGTTTATTGTCTAGGAGCAGCATAATAGCGCTCCTGGAGAAGGTGAGGGAGTTTCCTTGCATCTGGGACTTCGAAAGCCCAGATTTTAAGAAAAAACTCCTCAAGAGGATTGCTACCACCGCATATGTGATTCCTTGAGAGCGGAGTAGTTGTCGAGATGAAGGACCTCACTGCAGGTACTCATGGAGATTTTGCTGGTTGTGATTTATTGTTATTGTGATTCATTTTGGAGTTGTAGAGAATAGCTAGTTGTACTAGTTGTGAATTTGATTTTGTTGAAAAAATATATAACTTTTATTATTTTGGTTTATTTTGTAGTAGGAATAGATCAGCTTTGATAGGCTGTAGAGATGTTCCAGGTAATATTTATGGATTCCTCACACTCTCAGTTATTCCAATATATCAAAATTATGCCACAGTAACCCCCATTATTGACAATATTGGCCACCACCCCCCCAAACTCCTGCAATGGAAGGCAAAGAATCCACCATGTATTCATGGCAGGGTAGAGCATGCGACTGATGCATGGGAGCATCTAATGTAGAGTCTGTGCAATTCTCTCTTCTATCATGAATAAATAGAGGATTCTTCCTGGGCAGGGGTTGGGGGGGGGCAGCAGTCCCCAAGGAGGAGGGGTAGGAGGCTGTCCTCCTGCATTAGGCAATATAAGGACAAAATATGTGGGGGTTTGGGGGGATTCTACAGCACAATTCATACATATGTGTACTAGAGAGTGAGAGGAATTCATTAATACCATAATTATCGTGACCGGTTATGTGAAGGTGTTCCAGAAAATTACCAGAGAATATTAAGATCTAAGGATCAGTTTGTGTATAACAGGCCAAAAAAACAACTGGCGAAATCTTTAGAATAAGTGACACACTTGCAAGAGACCAAGTACCCAACTATAGGTCACAAAATCTATTAAACAATCTAAGTTGCCATGACTTGGCTCTCCTGACTGCCAGAGGGGAGGTTGATGGGGTCTGTCCCCCAACATCCCCAGGGAAACATTGTCTTCACCTCGGTATACACAGCAAGATAGAGCTGTTACTCTGGGAGCTCTGTGTGGGCTTGGGCTGTGAGCGACACTTTCTGCATTGTTTTTCCTATATTGTAGAGTTACTATTTCCTCTATAAGAATACCATCTTCAAGTTGCCCCAGTTTATTGCAGTCATACCTTAAAGATTTACCACCAACTTTATGATAACTCGTAAACCAGCCTGGTAAATTATTTTTTTAAGTGAAGAGCCAATCCAAACTGTTTCTAATTGCCCTGTTCCTTATGTTATTGTATTTTTATAAGGAGGGTTTAGTTTTTGAATTGAAAACTGCAATGATTCAAGCGATCTGGATGGTCTCGGCACTTTTGTTGCACTGGCAGTAGAGCAATTCATTATATATTTTGGTGAATCTTTTCAGTTTTAATACTGTATTCCTATTGTTTTTTTTTTTAATGAATTTTGAACATTTCTGACCATTATATATGTTAGGAAATAGCACATTACAGAGATAGCCTATAGTAGGCCTTTTTTCAAAATAATATTTTTAGTTATTGTTGGATTCCAAGTTTTGGGTGTTGTTTGCTGTTGGAATCAAGTTTATCATATTTGTATCCCTTGATTGCCTAGCTCCACCAAACTTAACTAAACTTTATCCTACCTTACCTTATCCAACATTGATCTCGCCTTTGCCTTTTCCTTTGCTTTTGCCTTTGATTTGCCTTTGCCTTTGTGGATACTGCCCAGCCTGAAGTGCACCCCCCTAGCTTATCCTTGCAGTGAAACAAGAGAGAGTGCCTCTCCCCCAGTGTGAATTGCAAATAAGTTGATTAAAATTGGTGTTCATATTGGTAAGTAATCATTTGTAATGGATAATATTTTTTTCAAAATACCATTTTTTAAGTTTCTCTGTGTTTTATATATGATCATTGTCTCCTTTTTCAAGATTATCTATGAAGATTGGGACTGTGTCTGGTGATGCAATGCTCATGCACTTAAGGAAAGAACAACAAATCTATACCACTATTATTCTAGCAGATTGTACCCTGTGGAGGAATACTGACTGTGTGGGAGAGCACATATATATAACACTGAACAAACCTTTATACTTTTTAGCAATTTTTTGGTAGCCATTAGGAATGAAAGCAAATCTTGATTGTAAAATAGAAATCCTCACATATTCCAGATCATGCAAAGAATAAATTCAATCATTTGAGGACATATCACCAAAGAGAACTCAAGAAGATTGAAAATATGCCTAGTGGATCCGGGGGCCAGCAGAGTTCCAAATGGGAATACTTCAACCACTGCTCTTACATGCAGCCTGGGGGGTGTCTGTACAGAGAGAAGAGTAACGGGAAACACCCTCCGAGAGAAACAGAAGTTAGATTTTTCTTTTTAGTCTTGTGTTGACTTTATAATTTTAGGATTTACTTTTCAATTCAAGAATACCACATCTTTTCTGAATTGTTGCTTGTTGCATAAATTATTTCCTATCATTGTTTTACTATTAACTACTGTCAAGATTGGGTAATGTGTTCAGGATAATTAAGGCTTTGATTTTATATCTTATCAGAGATGTAGATTGATATAATCATTACAGGGAACACAGCCAGACCAGGTGGAGGAAAATGCAAGTAAAAAGAGGAAACTCCATCACAGTGAGTTCAGTACAGCTGACACATTGCATCAGGACCATCTACCAGGGAATGAGCAGTTCATGGAAAACAGACCTGAGGCTGCAACCAGACCTATCTTGCCTTGGTATTGTGTTTAGCAATATGTGTGTGTGTGTGTGTGTGTGTGTGTGTGTGTGTGTGTGTGTGTGTGTGTGTGTGGTGTGTGTGTGTGTGTGTGTGTGTGTGTGTGTTGTGTATGTGTATGTGTATGTGTATATGTGTGTGTGTATGTGTGTGTATTTGTGTGTGTGTGTGTACATATATACATATACATATACATATACATATACATATACATATACATATACATATACATATACATATACATATATATATAATATATATATATATATATATATATATATATATAGATATATATATATATATATATACATATATATATAATATATATACATATACATATACATATACATATGCATATACACATTTACATATACATATACATATATATACACACATACATATATGTTCCAGTCTGGAAAATATAAAATAGGAAAATGCCAAAAATCTTTATCTGTTTTTAGTATGGTTTTCATGAATGAATTATTTTAGTGAGAAAAAATGTGAGCTTCTATTCTTTAAAAAAATGACCTTTACTTTCCAGCCAGACATCACATAATAACCAGACAACATTTACAACATTCAGACCAAGAATTGAGGAAAACCAAACAGCAGATAGATGTAAGTAGAGGTTTACTCATTCTGTTTTCTGTCTTTCCTTGTCCTCTTCTCAAAATTGCAATACATGCAATTGTTCAATCATTAGCTTCTATTTCAATTCATTGGAGCCATACTTATGCACTGTTAATGTAGCTCTGAGTGATGAATTTTGTTACACATAGATGTTTCTTCTTTTCAACAAGGAATCAGCTTCCTAACCTCAGCTACCTACTTCACCCCTTGAATTTTCAGAAAAATAGTTTATTTTTATGTTATCAACATCATTATTATTTATTATTAGATGCAAAGTCTCTGTTCATTTCCTATTTCTTTTTAGATTCGCATCAGACCCTAATCTTAAAGGGTTTGCTGGAGGACGCATCTTTTGCTGATGTGACGCTGACAGCTGAGGGACAGTCGTTGAAGGCACACAAGGTGAGGTTATGACAAATCAAGTATAAAAACAGGGAGAGGATGAAAACCATAAGCCATAATCAGGACAGATAGATGTATTTTTGAGAAATATTTATATGATGTGTTGCTATTGTGAGATTGCTATTTCAGGAGTTGTCTCTGATGTTACTTACTATCACTTGGTATCCCCTGAAGGCAGTGTTGTCAGCCATGAGTCCCTACTTCAAAAGTGTGTTGCAGAACAACCCAAGTCCTCACCCCATCATCATCATGCCTCTGGACATGCAATTCGAGGATCTCAAAGGAATTATAGACTATATTTATGTGTAAGTTAATTTCCATTTAGTATGACACTGAGTGCAAATGTTTTATGATACAGAAATAAAAAAAAATGTGAAAATAGACTTGCATATATAAAGGCTCTCGCACACACAAACTCACATATACAAACTTACTCATACATGTTTACACATAAATGCACTCTTTCCCTCACACCCTCACACCCTCGCACACACACACCCTCACACACACACACCCTCACACACACACACCCTCACACACACACACCCTCACACACACACACACCCTCACACACACACACACCCTCACACACACACACCCCTCACACACACACACCCTCACACACACAACACCCTCACACACACACACCCTCACAACACACACACCCTCACCACACACACACACACACACCACACACACACACACACACACACACACACACACACACACACACACACACACGACACACACACACACAACACACACACAGAGAGAGAGACGGAGAGAGAAGGCGAGAGATGAGAGAGAGAGAAATTGTGTGAAAAGTAGTGAACGGTATATACATTTGTATTTGCTTTACTTGTTTATGTCATATATTTTGTTTTCATACATTACAGAGGCGATATAATGTGGCGACTGAGACTCGTCCCACTGTTTAAGGCAAGCTCGATTTCTTCAGATTTACTGCTTATCAGCAATTGGATGGGTAGGGGTAAGGTCATTGAATACTCTTATCATCCAGTAATGCAAAATTAAATCCAAAGACTGTTAGCCATTACGACTTTGTCAACTGGAACCAACCAAATTAGTCTCAAGATCAGAAGAATGAAATATACCAATATACTGCAGTCACTCATGGATCAGATAAGAGTATAGTATCATCACCCATTGACCATGCAAAATCTGCCCCCAGGCAAAAGGTTTGGAACAAATGCCACAACAGGGCCGTGAGCAATTAGGGCCTGCTGGGAGGACTGTGTTGGACCCATAGCGGACAAATAACCATAAGAAAACTGAAAGTGGAGCTTCATCCGTATAGACGGACAAAACAAAAAAGGACTCGACACTGGACGATTTCTTCATGCTTGTACCTGAGAAGAAAGACTTCAGTGACACAGATGGTGAAGGTACAGAAGGAGTTTAAGGAAGTAAGTTATGTAGTATTCTTCTGCTAGTCATTCCCTATTGGCAAAAATATTTTTCTTATGTACACTTTGAGAAACTAAAGGTGGACTGCTTATAAGTTGGATTTTTTTAATGTATGTAAGTTTTTAGGAGCAGGTTGAATCATTCACTGAAAATGTCTTGTGCCGTGTTGAAAGTAATTAGTAGTGTACAGATGATCCCAATTCTGGAGTCCTCACTGCGCCTAAGTAGGCAGCATTTGGAGTTATAGAATCTCTGATACAGCTTGTCCCACTTGGCAAAGTATGTCAGGGCTTCCTGAGGAAAGATTTCAGTTTCAGATTCAAAGAGATGGTTCTAGATTTTTTCATTACAAATGCATGGAGAAATGGGTATTTAGTTCAGTTCTATGCAACTGAGAGAAGAGTCCAATACATGAAAATTATGTTTATCTTTTAGGGGAAAGTTTATTTTTGTGGATGTGATGTAACATGGTTCATAATTTTCCATTTACAAATAGACTTCTAGCATAAAGTAAAAAACCGTATTAATACCCTGGCCAATTATACTTATTATAAAATGAATACATAAGTCTTTAGATCATTTCACCTTGCATGAAATAAATGTCTACAGCATGAAAAGAACTACTTGAAAGCCTCCATTGCCTCCATTTGCTCTTCAGATATGGATATAATTGTGAGAATTATGCTAAACAAGATACTAGTTTTAATGTATTCATTACAGGAATTATGTGATTCCCACCCTCACAGCAGGGAGTGAAGACTCCTTCGAATCAGTCTTCA